CCCCAAAACCCCAAAACCCCAAAACCCCAAAACCCCATTCTTTTTATTTCTATTGAATAATAAATCATAAAATCTGTCGTTATGAGCTCACTCGAGAGAACAAGAAGAGCCCAGACTAGGTCTCCTCATCAGAAGAGAGCCAACAGGGATTTTAACTCCACAGTAACTTTGTAATATATTTTAGAATGACTCATATAATCTCGTTGTTGTCAAGCAAAAGAAAATTGACCAAGCAAGGAGAATACAGACTCAGATTGCCTCGAGGAAGATTTTTAAAAAGGGGCTTGGCCCATCTAGAAGGAACAAGAACTGCATCCAGTCCAGATCTTATCTAGGTATCGATTATTGAGATATTATAGGTTCGAAATGTTTTCCTTCCTCAGCTTGGCAAAGATCAGCTCAGATGAATCATACATTTCACTTGGCACATCCTTCAAGGACTATTTCGGTCAACACTCGGAAGGTTACCAAACAACCTTTAATGAGGCTGTTCAAGGACGAACTTGACAAAAGATTCACTTTGACAGTAAACAGGGAAGACTTGAGCAGACAAAATCTGTCTAACAGTGCTTATATCGATCAAGATGATATCTCAAGGAAGAATTCTGATTATAACTCAACTACTCTAAACAAGTCTCTCTTCTCCTCAACAGCAGGAAGTAAGATCACCAATAGGAAGATAATTAGCATGTTTAATGGTAAGATCCTTTGTAAGTAACTTATCAGAATTTGAAGCAGCCACGAATGTCCAACTCAATGGTAAGAGTCCTCTTGAATAACCCTAGACAACGATTCTTTATATGATGATGAGCTTGATAGTCAAAGATTTCAGAAGCAATCCGCTTTGCTCAAAGCTAAGAGTAAAGAGACTGCGAAGACAAGGAAATTCAGCATGAATTCATTCGTTAAGTAAGAATATAAGATTAAATTCTCATCATGCCAAAAATAAGATTCCAAGTGTCAAAATTTTAAAGAAGATAATAGCACTTCTGTCTTTATTCTAGTTCTGACATATATGGCAAATGCTCCATTATTGATGCGATATAGTGAGGTGTTCTTGGTTCCTCAAGCTTTTAGGAAACCATGGAACAAAATACTTGGCTTTATTTATAGAAATAAATCTGACATGCTAAAAAGGACTTTTATTTTGGGAAATATTTCAAAGCCAATTATTTGATTATTTCTCAGATTTATGCTATAAAAATCGCTGATTAGTCTCTTAAAATTACTCGCTATTTAACATTTGTCATAGGATCCAGAACTCAAAAGTTCAAAGTCCTCTTGATGCTTCAGACTCACCTCTAGCCTCGATCTTAGAAAAATAGGGAACGTCCAGTAGTGCTTCTACAAAAGTCTACTAAGTTCTTGCTCAATTTAGCTAAATTTAACTCAGAATTCATTGTAAAGAAGGCTAACAATTATGAAGAAACTCATAATTTCAGAAAGCTAAATAAAGCTCAAAAGAAGCAGATGACTCAGCTTCAGTCAAGAGCATCTGTAAGCCCCTTAAAGGGCCGGTCTCAGAGTCCCTTATGTAGCAGGTCTCAGTTCAGCACCCCTTACAGGCCTTTTAAGGGATTTCGTCAGCGCTCACGCAAAGCTCGGTTAAAGAATTATTTTATGAGAAAACAGGTTTAAATTCTTGTGTTAGGAAGACAACTACTAAGTAGCCAATTTTTTGCTATTTTGGGGTTTTGGGGTTTTGGGGTTTTGGGGTTTTGGGG